GCTAGCCCGCCATTGCTTACTGGTGGTATGAACAGGGAATATTCAAAGCTACACAAACTAATCCTGAAGACAAGCCCATTATTCCTACAAAGTTGAACACACATACGACTACTTCAACGTAAGCAAGTCAAAATTATGTCAAGAGGCACTAGATCCACATCTCCTTGCATTCAAGCTAAGGTGTTGCCATCTTAACTATAAATGAACGAAAAACAGCAAAATAAAGTGAGATTTGAAATCTAATGCAGGTTACTTTAAAGAAACCTAAGCTACAAATATACCAAGAAAAGATAACTTTCCAAAGGATAGACGAGGAGTCCAGTGTCCGCTAAAAATGCTAATATAAATGTTTAAAGATCTTTGAGATCAAGAGGCGCTTGGTGAAAGTATTCGTTTACACGTCTTCATGTAGATAATAGGTTGGGTTTTCATTGTTGGATTAACATCACAACTATTTATAAAGTTTCTTAGCATTTTAAGGCAATAACTTCTTGGATGGATCATTGGGTTCGAAGGTTAGAGAGGTTATTTCTATGAAAATCCCATTTTTTTTACCACCAAAACCCGTGCCCAAAAAGAAAGGCTTGCGATTTTTTCCCGGAAAAGGTTTTGCAGATTTTTCTATGGGATCATAAGAGTCCCAAAAAAATTGTCAAAAAAACAAGAACTGGAATTGAGAAGAGTTATAAGAAGAGCAAGTAAAACATATAGTATGCATAGTAAACAACAAAGAAAAATTGTTTCATCAAGAAATGGCATCGAAAGCATTTGGAGAAGTATTAGATAGCTAAATCAACCTTAACACACGAGATAATCGAGAGCCCCAACTGGCTAGACACGCACAAAATCTACTCCAGACTACACCTATAGAGTCTGCGCTACCGGTCCTAGTACTCTAATACCTTGTTGTTCGCTCTCTAATCATCCCCTGGCTGCCTCTACCACTTCACCCCTCCCCCTTCCACAAAAAGAACAAGTCCTTACACTTACCCTGGTCTTGCGTCTCTACAATCCTGGCTTCTGAAATGTCTACAACTGCCATGTCCAAGATGTGTTTCTCGGCCGACCTCTCATCCTCACCCCCTCGACAGTTATGCTCTCGACCCTCCTCACTCTGGAACCTATATTTGTCTCAATTTATCTGTGATAGACGTTACTCCCAACTTTACTCGTAAGACCTCATTTGGGATCTTGTCCAACATAATTCAGCCACAGGAGCACCTGAACATCTTCATTTCTGCAACTTCCAGCTTCCTTTCATGCGCCTTTTTTGTCGCCCAAACACTTTGTCCCATATAACATTGCTGGTTTGATGGCTACATTATAGAATCTCCCTTTAAATTTTAACAATACCTTCCTGTCATACAACATTTCCGTTGCAACCCTCCATTTTAACGATCCTGCCTTAATTTGGTGTGTAACGTCCTCATCAACGTCTCCCTCCATTTTAACCACCTTGCCTTTATGTGTGGCAACCCTCCATTTTACCAGTTTCTTTCAACTTATTGGTCAACAGAAGTGGGATTGGTACAACATCTATTGATGTATGATAGCAAAATTAAATTACTTTTTCGTTTCCCCTACTGATGTTTTTCACTTGGTATCAATGCAAACTACACATTACAGCAGATTCTCAAAGCTTTTCTCTTTGTTTCCCGAGCAAACAGCTTCTAGGATCACTAACTTGTTAATTGATCTCAGTCCTTTCCACTGATCAGTTAACCACATGTGAGGTTTGTGTGTTCCACTGTAGACTGTAGTCCTACAGGAGTATTTGTACTGATTAGGGGTTTCTTATAGTAACCATAGGAGCCTAATATCTGGCCACCAAAAGAAACATATGTACACAAGATGATATAACAAGAATGAGAAGGTCGTGGTGGGGCACATACATACAAGGACATACAGGATTAGGAATGAGCATATTCAAACGAAGATTAAGATGGTGGGTGTCATGCACCACCCACTGAGATCGGTTGTCACATAACAGAATCAGTATATATCTTTAGATGCCCATGTGATATTGGGAACCTTTTATCAAGAGGAGTCTGTCATCCTAGAACCACATATAACATGTACCAAACTACTTCCAACCACATGTTAATCATTCTTTGACAGTCAACCATGTTGTTCAATGTTGATGTATCAAATATCTCGTCCTGGCCTTCATAAACAACGCAATTATCTTTTGTCAAGGATTTAATTAGTTTGGGACCAAACTCTAAAATGGATAAGACATTGGCAACTGGCAAGAGCTTCTTTCTTACTATTCAATTTTTTTGCGGATCCTCGTTATGACTTATATGATCAATAAAACAAAGGAACATACATCACCGGAAGGCAGGCTGACAGCATCTGGAACTTCCCAAGCAATCATCATATCAAATGTTAATCTTCGAAACTTTTTGTCTTCGATGTAACCGCTAACTTGCGTAGATAGAGCAAGAGCCCTGAAACAGGAATATTCAAGAAAATTCCGGGCATACCGTGATGGGTGTTTTGTGACATCAGAAGCCTCCGCCTCAAAGTTTTCACGAAGCTGGCCTGTAGAACTATTGAGGATTCTGCAATCATCGGATACAAACAGAGTGAGCTTTCATTTTATTCATCACATGACATAGAATCCATCGATCTCGTCAATCAATGAAACATATCAATTTCAACAAAATACAGATAGAAACGGGAAGTATGCTGCAACAGAACTTACTTGGAACACCGACGAACAACCATATTTGCCACAACAGATAGGTCGTGGATCCATTTCTTATCAGCAGATGGAGAGCTTTTCATCTCCTCTAACTCTTTATGAGATGATTTCTGGTTTTTATTCAACCATTTAAATGATCCATCTCTTACAAAACCCTCGATCATACTTTTGGTTTTGCTTGCTGCAGGCGCCATCTTCAAATTCTCTCACGCCTATGATCAAATTTTAGGGATTTGAGATCTTCAATCTCAAATCCAAACAATTGTAATGGTACAGTATGCAAATCACTGTAAAAAAAAACGGAATCACAATACAATATCATCAAATTATTTGGTTCAATCCCTATGTATAAATCTGAGATACGTGCAGGTCATCTTTTCGAAACGAATATGCATGTACTTCGATTTGAATTATACGTTTTGGAGTGAATCACAAAGTTGGTCCCTGTACTATTTGTCAATATGCAATGATACCCTTTTGATTAAAAATATTTGCATTAATGCTCCTTTGACTTTAAGATCTACTTCCTAATGATATATATCATCCACATCCTTACAAGTCATTTAAGTGGTAGGTTTATCATTTAAAAATCCAGATAAAGAAAACATCATTTAAGCTCTTATTTTGAAAGAAAAAACAAATAGTCTAAAAATGAAAATGCCTAAACCAGAGACGGACCTAGAAATTTTTTCAAATGGTGGCACCATTTTGACCATAAGAAAAAAATATATGAAATTTTTTTCAGATGGTGACACCGTTTGACTATAAAAAACAAATATACGGCACCGTTTGACTAAGAGAATGACATTAACAGGATTTGAACTTGGGTTTGTGATGGATAAAAGTCTTGCAAACCAACTATACCAAATAAAACTTGTTCTCATTGTAGTTTCAAAATACATACGGTGTCACACAACAAATTAATACGGTTGCATCATTCACGAACCCAAATGTTTTTACCCTTCGACGGAGGAATAATACGGTGGCACGTGTTACCGTATGCCCTATAGTAGGTCCGTCCATGGCCTAAACGATTCAGACTTAAGAGATGACTAAGAGGAAATTTCAAAAAGTGATTCATACTACAACATTTATTAACTATTTTTAAAAAAAAATTTATATACATTTTAATTATTTTTTAATAAATACATGATATATAATTCTTTTAATTCAATTTTAATTAAAATATAAACATTAATTTCAAATAAAAAATTAAGATATAATATAATAATATAATGTATATGTGAAATTAAATTGACGAATATACAAGTCACGTTCATCTTCCACAATCATGTTGTGCATTATTATGCTAGCTCTTAGTATTTCTCCTATTATTTCCTTGAACTACATGCGTGATGGCCCTCTAACTATACCAAATCGTGATTGCAATACCCGAAACGCTCTTTCTACATCTTTCCTACGTGATTCTTGTTTTTTGGCAAATAATTGATGTTTTTGACTTTTGGATAATGGGGTGGACTTCACAAATGTAGTCCAGTTAGGGTAGATTTCATCTGCAAGGTAGTATCCTAAGTTATAGTTGTTACCATTAAAAGAAAAATTAATCTATGGTGCTTTGCCTTCTAAGACCTCATGAAAGATAGAAAAACGATCTAAATACTGATATCATTTAGTGTACCTGGAAGCCCAAAAAAAACATGTCATATCCACGAATCTTGTGAAACAACTGCTTGTAACATAATAGTTGGAGATTTATAATCCCCTCTAACATATTGTTTGTGCCATGCCATGGGACAATTTTTTCACTCCCAATGCATACAATCGATACTAACATACCTGGAAAACCGTGTTGGTGTCCAATATAAAGTAATTGTTGAAGGTCAACAACATTTGGTCTTCGTAAATACTTGTTCCCAAACACCGCAATAATAGCTCGTACAAGCTTCTTAACACATTTTATTGTTGTGGTTTCATCAATTCGTAAATATTCATCAGTGACAACTACAACTAACACCATATGCTAATGTTCTATCGCAACAATAAGAGGTGATAATTTTGATCTACCGGTACAATCAAGACCATTTTTAAAGTATCGATCCTGATTCTTCCCAGCTTCAACTATGAGAAGAAATAATGGTCTATGCATTTGAAATCTACGTCGAAATACGTCGTCATCGTTCGGATTCTCAGAAAAGTAGTCTTTGTGTTTTTGTCAATCTCCATCTTCATGATTTCTTTCTATATTTATTCTTTTCTTCTTTTTACGTTTTGATGAAGAAGTTCCATCTGTTATTTATTGTTCTTTTTTTTTATAACCTGGATATCCAACCCGCTATGCGAGCCGACTAATCCCAGGGCGACCACCTGCTTTGCAGATAGCTTGGAGTCACCGCATTTGAACCTCCATGGCCACAAGAGGATTTTTATTCCTCCTTGGATTTGAACCTAAGACCTTCTGGTACTTTTGACCTTTGGATATTGGGTAATAAGTTTGAAGGAAGAATCGTCAACAAGTCATTGAACAAATTTTTCAGATGTTGAAGATGAAGAAGACAGCGAAGAATCATTCTCAGATTCAGACATCTAATTGATAGGTTATGGTTAATAAGCTCACTTCTAGTTGTACATTATTGAACACATGGCATTTTTCTCCCGTGATGTCTATAATAGATGTTATTGTTCACCCGTGACATATGGTTTCGATAGACGCACTGTTCACTGTGATGTCTATAGTGGACATTATTGTTCACCCATGATATATGGTTTCAGTAGACACAATGTTCACTCATAATGTCTACAGTGGATGTTTCACCCGTGATAGATGGTTTCATTACCATCATGTATAGTGTAGGCTTGAGATTTCAAAACACCATCAATCCAATCCATTCTCATACTCTTCTACATCTCTTCATTTACTACGATTTTATGATGGATCCATCAAAGCCTCAGTTCAAGCCATTTTTCAGTTTCTCCTAACCTTTATCCTATAATTCAAATGATGATGCACAAGACATAAATCCTCATATTTCAATGTACCCCAATCCTAACTTTCCTATGATGAATCCCAACAATTTTCAAATGCCAATGTACCAAAATTCAAATTTCTTAAACTATCTACTGAATTTTCAAATGTCATTTTACCCAAATCCTACTATTACTCTTTCTCAATTTCTAAAACTTTCTACACAACCAAATCTAGTGCGGAACAAGCAACCAGTTCTAAAAATGAAGAAAAAAAACCCCCGATGAACAACCAAAGATGATATTTTGTTGTGTAGCGTTTTGGCTCAACATAGGCAAAGACGGAACAATTGGTACTAATCAAAGCAAGCTAAATTTCTGGAACCGTGTACTTAAATATTATGATACGAATCGTAACACGAGTTCTCCAAATAGTAGTAATCATCAAGCACTTCAGAATCTTTGGAGTCGATTGAATCATGTTGTTTCAAATTTTGTTGGGTGTTATGAACAAATCTTACACCGATGTAAAAGTGGGCTGAATGAAGAAGACAAAGAAATAGAGCATTAGAGTTATATCGTTTGTTGGAAGATGGACAATTCAATTTCTTGCATGCTTGGATTGAATTGCATGATCAAGAAAAATAGACTACTCAATAAAAGATGCATAGTAGGTTGACCTAGTAAAGGATATGGGGTCTAAGAGAACTAAAAATGATGGTTCAGGCCAATACACCTCATCATCCTCAAATACAAACATGTCAACCCTGAGCTAACGTCAACTGCTCATCCAATGGGAAGGAAAGCTTCAAAGGATAAAGATAATATAAACATTTATCAAGTAACTCTATCGACCGTATCAACAAGGGGATGAAAGAATATTTCAATCTTGATGCTGAAAAAATAGAAGTAATGAACAAATATACATAAACTATAAAAGAACGAGAGAGAAAAAAAGAGGAATGAGAGAAAATAAAAGATCAACTTAAAAAAGAAGAATTGACAATCAGGTTGATGAAAATGGATCCATCAACTATGACGGAGCAAGAAAGAAAATTGAACGATAAAAGCGGCAAATTTTAAACGAATAAAGATTGGTTTTATTTGTGTTGTTTTATTAATCGTACGTATTAAATTATATTATATGTAATTTTATAGATTAGATTCTTTGTAATTTTGTCAATATTATATGTTTTAATATGTATTGTAATTTAATATTTAAATTAATTGAACTATATTGTTTTTATATTTTATTTAAAAAATAATATATACACATACATAGAATATTTCTTAAACAAGAATATTTTGTAATTTTGTCAATATTATATGTTTTAATATGTATTGTTTTTTCCTCTTTTTATTTATTTATTTTGTATTTTAATTAATATGAATTATTAATAACTACATGTTTTCTTTTATATTATTTATATTATATTTTAATATTAATTTATGTTATTCAATCATATTATTTTTGTAACACTCTCCTCTTACTAGACTTAAGATAAGGCATGACACAACCAAAAAGATATCAAAAAACATACGGTTCAAAGTATAGAGCTCTAACATAACTCCCAAAATATTACATTACAATCAATAATATTCATATGTTTAACATATTTACATAGCAAAAATACTGATGTAAAAAATATTCTTTCTGCATTCTAAGCCTTCTCGACCGTTCATCATACCCCCGGGTTAGATCCTGAATCTACCGAGGTAAAATAAAACAACCCTCGAATGAGCAAAATTTGCCCAGTGAACAAATGATAACACTATAAATACAAGATAAAATAGTAAATGCAAGAAAATGTTATGATAAAAGTTGAAATCGATGTAAGTGTAAATATCTAAAATTGAAACTTATATAATTAAAAATTCAAGTAAGAAGACCATCTATATCATTAGGATACGTTGTTCCCAATGAATGATCAGTCCAATCAGGTGTCATAATGGAATGGAAGTGTTGGGAACTGCACCATCTCATTCCCCGGTAACCAGAGATGTCAGGTATTTAGCTCTCTCTTTCCTAGTTACTGAATTGAATCTGCCACTTCCAGCAATACCAAACTTGAAGAAATCCCATCTCAAATCATCAATCTTCCACCTATGTTCATGAATACATTTAGGGGTCGTATACCAAACTATTACCAGGTAAGCACTTACCGGTAAAATACAACACTATCACTTATCAGGTAAGATTTTAGTCCACCAAAACGACATTGTATGCAACAATTTACCCAGTAAGCATTAATCGTGGTAAGAGTCGTCGCCCTCATTTATCGGGTAAGACTCTTGGTACTTGTCTCGCTCTTACCGAGTAAGATTCTTGATCATTTTCATATTCATCTGGTAAAGTAATGTGACTTGTTAAACGTTTACCAGGTAAACGTTCGGTAAACGGTGCCTTAGGGTTTAACCCATTTACCCTAAAGAAGAAGAAATCACAAAAAATCAAACCATAAACATACATTATTTTGAGCCCTAATACCAATTCTAACATACAATCTTAAAAAATCTTGGAATTTTATAAGAGATTTGAGGTTAAGGTTTAGGGTTTCTAGAGAGAAGGATGAGAAATCGAATGAACTTGAGAGAGAAAATGAAATCTAATTTTGGTTTTAAAAAATAATAATCATTTCATATTTATATTTACAATATTTACCATCTAATCTTTGATCTTAAACTTATTCTCAAATTAATCCTACTTTAATAATTTCCTTTACAATTTGGTCTTAACCAAGATTGTTTCAACCAATAATGGAACTTAAAAAAAAACAAATATAAAATGGACTTGCCTTAATGAAAATCTCTTGAAGACTAAGATACAAGTCAATAAAGCATGATTTCAAAAAAAACTGAACATAATTGAGCTTTCGGCTACAAAATTAGATTTTCTAAATACGGGGTATTATATATTTAATTAGCATGAATTATTAATAATAAATAAAATATTTTACATATACATTGACTTCTTTTTTTTTTCTTTTTTTCTCTTATTTAAAAATAAATAAATTCTTATCAATATAAACATTTATGTTTTCTAATAATTATATAATTATAAAAATAAAACATAAACATTGAGATTTGATATATAAATAAAACATAAGAACCAAAAAATATATATAAATAACACATAGAATAATTTATATTATATTTTCAATTAGTCTAAAGAAAAATTGACCTAAATAGCCATTTCTTTTTTCAAAATTAGTCTCCTAGCCATTTCTTTCCCCATTTTTTCCAAAATGTCACTAATTCCGCAAGTGACAACTCAATTTACGGAGGTAAAAAAAGTTTCTGAACACGATCCGCAAGTACAAGGACTAGATTTGCATTTTTTTTCTACATCCGCAACTAATAGTCCGCAACTTGCTGACATGTTTAAATAATTTTACAGTTTTGGCCCCTACACTTGCAGAGCATATTAAAAAACTTCTTTTTCTTACTTTCTGACCCTTTCGCAAATTGAGGAGTTGCCACTTACGGAATTAGTAACATTTTGGTAAAACACGAAGAGAAAATGGTAGGGGACCAATTTAGGAGAGATAAGTGGCTATTTGGGTCAATTTTCCTATTCTAAAATGACATTATTTGTAGTGCAATTACAGCTAAAGTTGTATGTATTTATTTACTCGATCTAAATACAGGGTAGTCAATGTAGCAACACATAAATATCTTAAATGAAAAAAAATGTTGTAATAGTAAGGATTAGATATCCTTCTGAACTCATATTAAGTCGTGTTCCCCAGGTTTGGTGAAGACCCTTCCAGAACTGTGAGGTAAATCGTGGATATCTATCAGACGTAATTGAGACAGGAGTGCCATGAAGTCTGATGATCTCTTTCTGAAATAAGTCAGACAATTGGTTAACTTAAAAAGTTTCACGAATAGCTAATAAATGCGCAGACTTAGTCAAACGGTCCACACGTACCCAAATCACATCATGACGCTTCTGAGTCATTGGTAGCCCTATAACAAAGTCCATAGAGATGTGCTCCCATTTCCAGACAAGTGTCTCTGAAGGTTGTATAAGAACGTTGACCCTTTGATGTTCAA